CATACATACATATGCACATATGCACATATGCACATATGCACATACACACATACACACATACACACATACACACATACACACATACACATATACATATACATATACATATACATATACATATACATATACATACGTATACATATGCGTGAGCCCTTATCGGGTTTGTTGCGCGTCGTCCAGACAACTGATTCGGCATTATGCGTGTGCACCGTTATGCTTTTGAGCACATTTGTGGTATCCCTGAGCTGTTCTCTGCTCGAGGCAGGAACGTGAGGCTCCACAAAAATAAAAGGCCTTCTTGAATGACAACCTGCACGAACTTTGCTTGGCAACAGCACCGTGTCACAAACCTAAACCGGTGATGTGCGACCACAAACCACCACCGCCGCCGGCGCGGCAGTAGCAGCAGCAAAAGCTTTGGATGAATAGGTCAGACAGAGGGAGATAGATAGATGGACGGAGACAAGGACGGAGAGATAGATCATTAGATCAAAAAATCATGAGCTAGCTTGATAGATAGATAGATAGATAGATAGCAGATAGATAGAAAATAGATAGACAGGTAGACAGATAGACAGCTAGATGATTAGATAGTTAGATAGATAGGGATGGGTAGATAGATAGTTGCATTAAGCCCGAGAACACAGCTATATTCAATGCTATAGGCCCTTAATCCTTCTTGGAAATTGCCCCTACTGTAGACCCAGCATACACAAGAACCGTTATTATAAGAGCCGACCCTCTGAAGCCCTGCCAGAAGTGTCTACGCCCCTTGTAACGGCACGAATCTCGCATGAAACAGCCGTAAACGGTTTTGGAAATCTGAATTCGAGCCACTCGCCAGGTAGTGGCCCATGCGGTGCTTCATCCGGGCTCGGCTGAGGCTAGACGTAGATCTAGTAGGGCTGAGGGTTGAGTGTACGTTTGAGGCATTTGGGGTTGAGGGTGATGGACTCAGTGTTCGGGGTTGATGGAAAAAGGTTTCGGGTTGAGTGGTCAGGGTTTTGGGGCTGTGGGATGCAGGTTTAGGGAAACAGAATGGATAGGTTTGGAATGTGTCCGGTTGCTTCCGCCGTGGTTTTAGAGCTTATTGCCTGTTGAACTCTGTAGGTTTTTTGTCAGCGTATACAAATATTCACCATGTTTCTTGAAGTGATTGGTGGATGGGAGCAAGTAGGTCGAAGCCGACGAGGTTTTGTGCCTCAGTAACTGTGCGGCTTAAGTTGGTCTTCTTTTCGCTATTTTGCTGGATCCAACATCTGTTTCGACCCCACCTGTTGGGACATGAAAACAGCTAACCGGTTCTCTTGCTTCCAGCCCACAACGTGCTCATATCTAAACACTGCAGAGGGCGGTAGCATTGCGGAGCCTTGATGCTGATGGCAAGCCCTAAGCCTTAAACCCGGACCAGAATCCTCGCCAGGCTTGTCCCAGGTCTCAGTGCTGAGACCCGAAACCTTAATCCCTTCTAGTCTGTTGCTTGCAGGATATTTTTTACGCCAGAATCCGTTTCTCGTTATTACGTAAGGCCCCTGTCGTCTCAAGCACGCCAAAAGACAGGCTTGGTCCTGCTCCCAGGTTGGAAACTTTGATGCGATCGACCAGGAGATGATCCAGCAGGGATTTGTGCGCTTCTGTTTCCTGGAGTGGAGGGCTTATCATGTTAATCTAGGGGACTCAATAATAGTTACCTTTACTCTTTTGGGGGTTCCTTATTATAATTATAGTATAATATACCCCAAAACCGTATTCTAATTATTAAGGCCCCTATATTCGAAGAACTAGTAGTACTGGTCACTATAGGGGTCCTGCTTAGACGTATGCTGTAATATGCTCACCCAACGAAACTCGGTTCTAATTATTATGGCCCTCATATTCCGGTGCCCCATGCCTTCTGAGGACAGCTAGGCTCTGTCAGATAGCTGCCAATGAGCTGAAAGATTTAGGGTTTGGGAACTAGTTTCTCTAAGGCAGACCATGGACCAAAAGCTAGGCAGACCATGGACCAAAAACTTGCCAGATTTTTCAAAGCCCTGTTTGTCCTCAGCGCTGTCAAAGAGGACGAGCTGTGAACATCCTGACCGGGAGTGAGCATGACAAAGACAGTCTCGAAGATGAAATGCGCGAGAGACAAGCAAGACAAGCTGCCGAGCATCCCTAAAATTGAAACCCAAAAGCCCTAAGCAAGCTTAAAACCCAAGTCATCAAAACCCAGGATCGACAGCATCGGGGTTCAGACTTTGGGAGATGACTGGGGCACGCGGCTTGGGAAAGCATCCTTCAGAAACGGGATCTCGCCGTGAGGATTGTGCTTAATCATGTTACTTAACGACAAAGTCTCCGCATTATGTAAGTTTCCTCAATAACGGGAATGATGGCATCTGCCTCATGATTAAAAATGCAGCGCCTCCTTCCACCGCACTGAGTAGCTCCAAAACCCCAGCGCACCCCAAAATGACGAAAGCACGCGGGCCTGACGAGCAAACCTGTCTTATAATTCGGAGTCTATAGGGTCTCCCCGAGGGCCCTTTTTTCCCTTTTGTGGTCTTAGAGCCCTTATGCCTTTTACTATCCAATACCAAAAAAGGGACTATTCTTGGGTTCCTCGGATTGGCCTAGCTTGCTTGCTGGCCTCGCTTGGTGTCGGCCCGAAGCCAGACGTCGTAGTAGAGTAGGAAGGAGCAACAGGGACGACCGCATCCGCCAGGACGAGCACAAGCCTGCAACGAGCGTATCTAATCATGTCAACAAGAAACTACTTGGAGGATAGCTCGACTTAGTACATCAGGTTGTAAGTATTTCACATAGGGTGATCCTTTAGCACTGAGACTGGCGTGCTATGCGTTTCGCGTGTGCCGGCCTCCTTGCTGCTCTTGATCTGACCCGACCCTGCTCTTCTCAAGCAACCTAAGTGGTCCGCCCCCTTAAACCAGCATCAGGTGCCTGATCTTGTGGCGAAGTCCTGAACCTTCCCACCAATCCTCCCGGCACGCAGCTGCTCCGGATCGTCTAGCTGGAACTAAAGCGAGCAACACTGTTGCCTACTGTAGCACTGGTGATGTTCGACAAACTAGAACCCGGACTCAGGGGCTGCCCCATGTAGCGGACAAGGGAAGGCTTCTTGATCGTACCAGACCTCGAGGGCATGGGGTCAACTTATCTGCATCCGTGTTTGTCCAGACGGGAGAAGGTAAGGAGAGGACCGAGGGGGGTTTGTACCGTGGCGTAGGCGAAGAAGCGTGCGCATCTTCCGGTCCGCCTGTATGCTCTGTGCCTCCAAGTAAATCTTAGCTTTGTACCGAGAGACCTTGCCAACTTCGCTGCAGGTAGTTTGTCTTGGCAGCTTTTCTGTCGTTTCAGACTACAAAAGCCCTCTGCAAGGCCACTCATCGTTGCAGCAGATGACGGTATGCGATGGCCTGTTCGTCGACAGGTGGTGGAAAAGACTGTGTTCGTGCCGTTCGGAAGGTTTAGCGGCTCAATCATGGATCGAGAAAGCCGGGACACGATAAATAATTCAGTCACGAAGCCCGTGAACGTTCTTACAATGCTTGGGGATTGCAGCATCACACTACCGTGTTGAGCCAACTCGGATGCTAAACCGGACGAAGCGCAATGGCGCATGTGCCGGGGTTTCGCCGCAGCATCCGACTAGAAGCATGCTACCGTGTGTTGCAGGAGCGCTATGGATATGTGAGACAGGGACTGGTTTGGCTTTGTTCATTTTCGGAGATCATGTCTGTGGCCGCAGTGCCCGCAGTCCATATGTCAACCTCCCCGTTTTTCACCGTCGCAGCTCTTTGTCTCATGTTTCTGCTCGCATGCTGGCGAGCCGGAAGTGTCTCGGACGTCATATGGCAACCCGCTCATTTGCTGCGGCCAAAGAACTACTCCAAATTTGGGTGCGGGGCAAAGCAGCGGTCCAGCCGGACCTTTTTTGCACTATCCATGGTGATTCGTCTGTCTTGTTCTGCAATCCTTGCCAGCCACATTTTCAACTGGATTGCGGATGACACCACCTGGCGATCATGCGAAGCCTTTTTCCTGCCATGGGCGGAATATACTCGCTCGGACATGAATTCAGATTCGAGCCTTTGTAATGCTGACCCCCAGGTCAGCGAGTGGTGTGAAACTATCCATTTGTTTGAGAGCCGCTGTAACGATCCGGTTCGGTTGACATCCCTACTCCAGTACTACGCTTGGACCGGACTGGGCATGGAGTGCACCAACTACACAGGCGACATTAGCGTCACAGCAGTCGCTGAGCACTTCCCTTGGTATCTTCCGTACTGTGAAACTCTCAACGGTACAGAAATCGGCTGCTACGCGCTGGAGGACGAGAACTTGGAGATCGGAGAGAAATTGATCATCTGGACAGATGACAAGGAAATCGGCTTGAATGAAGCGTGCGAGGCATGGCCTCAAACGTTGCGCGTTGTCTACAACTGTCAGATGTTTTTCCATGACACCAACTACTGCCAACATACCTCGGACACTACGGCCGGGGAAACCGAATGGGATAGGCAATTGGGGCAGTCTTGTGAGGCCCATCGCTGTGTGGATTCTCTACCGGATTGGTTGTATTTCTTGGATGATGTTGAGAAAAAGATGTACTGCAAATGCCAGCAATGCACACCCTGGTGGAGAATGAATGAGTGCACGTTGGAGGCAGTGGATACGGCCACGCGCCGGATCATGGAACAGCAACTGTTATATGGACTTGATTGGGGTGAGGCCTTATCGGATCCACGATTTGGGATCCTATTTGCGTCTTGGTCTCACTAGAGATAGTTTAACCATACCCCTAAACCCTAAACCCTAAACCCTCGAGTGCGTGAGTCGAAACCCTAAACCCTTGTTTAACCATACGTTTTCAAGATAATTAGTGGACATTGCCTGATCGATGTGCGGGATCTTTGGCTTCGTGGGCACGCCTGGAGGTCTGGTGATTTCCTAGACACACCCGATGTAATATGGCATTGGCAGTACGTCTTATAAAGGTTGTAATTGCATATTCTGGCAGGTATTGGCCTATACCTCTTATAGTATGTAATTGCATATTATAGCAGGTATTGGTCATCTTTTGCATTTCTGGTCCTGTCCTTTGGCTCTTGACGAGTCTGCTCTTTGGCATTTGTGCCGGGAACCCCTGGGCCGTCCCTTTTGATGTGGACATGCACAGGGCTATTGAGACTCGGCATTCTTCTGGTTGGCTATTAGGTCTTAGGGCTTTAAGTTTGTGGGTTCCTATAGGAACTATAGCAAGTAGGCTAAACAAATGGCTTTTCGGAGGGGTTCAGAAGTCAGCTAAGGCGAAAGAGGAGCTCGCGATTCAGGAGGAGCTGGCAGCCAACGGAAGTATCCAAACATGGTACGGCCCGTTTTTCAGCCGGCTGTCGATGTTGACAGAAGTGGGATTTTGCGTGGCCGACTTCGTGATGGATCTCCAAATGGTGCTCGTTTACTGCTACACCTACCACTATATATTCGCAGCCATCCAAGGCTGCATGGCGTTGCGGAGCTTTCTTGAACAGGCGCGGCTGACCCACGGAAACTTGCTAGGGGCTTTTGAGAGACGGTTCTGCCTTGCACATGTGGCATGGTGCCCATTCTTGCCCTCTGTTTGGTGAGTTTGTCTTTTTCTGATCTTGCCCATGGAGTTCCCAGCCTTGCGCCTTCATTTAGTTTCGAAGGGAGTGTGCCATCCCCTGACCCGTCTCCAACAGGGAGACAGTAGAACACGTTCATTATGTTATGATATATTCCAATATATACACTCATACATACATACATACAT